CGATATTCGTTTCGCTTTTTCGCGCTCAGTGTGGAAAGGCCTTAAAAGTTTGGGGTCAGCAAGTTTTTTTAAAAGAAATTATTACTTTTATTCAGAAAGGCTGCATTGATTTGATCAAAAGTGACAGCAATGTGATAAGATTTCCATGTCAAATAAAGGCTTTTCTTTAAAGGAGACAAGCAATATACAGTAAATAAATCAATAAATCCACTGCTCTGTTGTCTCCTCTGAGGCTGGACTCTAAATAGTGTTCTGTGTTCGTCTGTGCTGCCAAAGACAGAACAGTTAGCATGTTTTGCTCAAACTTTCGCCATGGCATTAGAACTGGTTCACCGTTGTTGTTTGCGAAATCAAATGACGGTGCCATGGGTGTCAACTATAGCACTTAAAACCTGGAAAAGTCAGATTTTCATGATATGTCACCTTTAAACTTTCTGTTCATCAAAAAAAAAGAAAAAAATGCATCACATTTTCCACAAAAATATTAAGCAGCACAAGTTTGTTTTCTTCAAGTTTTCACAGGAATGAAAAAGTTATTTAAAATGGATAATTTACAATATAACAGTTTTACAGTATTTTTCATCAAATAAATGGAAAAGAGATTTCCGACTCCAACTTCAAATATGTTCACTGTTAATTCATGTTTGTTCATAATCATTAAATGGTGCAAATAAATTTTAATACGTAGAAAGTAACATTAAAGGGGACATCAGATGCCCATTTTCTTCAAGTCGGTATGATTTTTTAGGGTCTTTGTGAAAAATCTATAACATACTTTGGTTAAAATTTCTCAGTGGTAGTGTAAAACAACACCCTTTTTACCCTGTCAAAAACAGCGCTGTTCACAGCGACCCGTTTCAGTGCATGTCCCTTTAAATGCTAATGACCTCTGCTCACCCCTCCCCTCTCTTCCGTGAGGTGACAAGCTGTTCTCATGAGACTGTAAACTTTAGGCACGGAACTTGCTAACTAGAACATTATTAGGAAAGGCATTTTGCAAAGATTCATAAAAAAAACTTATACTCACTGCTTCTGTAGGTGAATCACGAATGATTTGCGCAAACAAAAACGCATTTAGGTAGATCGGAGGTGCATTCCCTTCAAAAACAAAAGTGATCCACTGGGTCTTCACTGGGCTCAGATGTCAGGAGTAAATAACGACTGCTAATTATTTCATCCAGCAACAAAACACCTCAATCGCTTAGGAGACATTCTTCGAAACAATGGCGGACTGTTCACAGCTCACTCAGGGCGGGTCTGTGCTAAAATGCCAGTGTCAATCAACAATCGTGGGAGGGGCCTGCCAAAACAACATCACTCTGCCAAGAATCTGTGAACGGCTTGATCTGAGAAAAAGGTTATGATTTATGGGGATGTTAAATAAACCACTGGATGGATTTTTATAATTATAGGGTGGTTGTGTACACACACTGCCAATACACATTTATGTTCAAACACCATACAAAAGTGAATTTTGCATCTAATGTCCCCTTTAATAAATGCTGACTAAAAACTATTGTTCATGTTAGCAATTGCAACTAGTATTCATTCTTTATGGATAAATAAGTTACAAATGTGTGTCTTTGAGGGTACTGCCTCTGTGAATAGCTAAAGGTACAATTTTTGCACAATTTTGCAGTGCTCTTTAAAATGAGTGGAAATCCAGCTTCTCTGTAAGGTTATAGTGCCACTACAGAGGTTTGAAACATGCATAATGTCAACGGATCAAAGTACTGTACAGCATAGCTCCTCACTTTATACTATTTATTTGAGGGTATTTTCAATCACGGTGGCAGATGGCTGACACCAAATACACGGCAATTTGCGTGAGTCATTATCCATTCACTGGCTGTTATTCAGTCTGCAGCTGTGCTTATCAGATTGGATCTGTCCCCCTGTACACTCCAGCTTGTATGGCATTCTTACCATAAAGGGTTAATTTTTTTCAATCAGAAGAGGGGGTTTATTTTTGGGACGGTTGCTAAGGAATGCAGAAATTGTCATTTGTGTTTTTGGAGAGGAGGACTTTAAAAGGATGAAGGGAAGTGAAGTGTTTTGCCCCTTTCGAAAGAATGCTCTAAAAATACCCCACATATTTTCCCTGTGCTGGCCCACTGAACCTACACTAACCGGACGAAATCCATCTGGCCTTTCACTCGCTCAGCACCTCTCTCCTTCTCAGCTGGTGGGTTTTCAGTGGTGCACGGCTGTCATGCACACACGCATGGCTCTGGATGAGCAGCGCCTATGAATTGGAGGAGAGCTGGAGAGATGTGCTCTGCATACCAATGAGATCACTGCTGTTTTAATAAAGACTCGCTTTTGCTGCTTTATTAAGGAGGGCTATGTAACATTACCACATACACTCCTCAACCTTATGTTTTTATCCTCTCGTGAGGTTTCTTATGGTCTAGGAAGACTTTAAGGTTTCATAATGAGCTTGATTGCTCGCACTTTCTCTTTTCGGCTGTCTGACCCTTGACGTCAGTATGCAGCATTGACGTCATGCCCAGGTTTCAGAGAGAGGCTGAGCCCTCAGGAGGCTATGCAGGAGAAGAGGAATGCGAGAGATTGTAAATTTGTAGAAACATAGCTGAGGAATTGTTTGAACGAGTGCGTTTTGCATGAATAAAACATAAGATAATAACTGATAGAGGAATTAGGTCAAAACAGTGAGAAGATAAAAAGTTTGGATGTGCGTTTGCTTGTGTGTGAGAAAATATGAGTGCATAGGATAAAAACACAAGGAAAAAAATGGGACTAGGCCAGGGAAAAGAAATACAGCATAAGCCAGAGACTTCCAGAAAAAAAAATAAGATAAGAGGGTCTTTAGAGTGTGCTGGATCCTCTGGGTGACCACAATGCACTGCACACTCATGCGGCACAGTGGTAAACTTTGATTCCGCTTCCTGCTCTGTTCCATCCTGCAAACATTCACACAGTGTATTCGTCCAGCGCATCAAATATTTACTGTCTTCCGGTCCTCGTGCAACAGGGATGAAGAGATGTAGAAAAGCAGCTTATCTCTTGTGAATGTGTGCAGTTCTAGTTTTAATTACCTGAAGTGTGGAAACCCCTCCAGACCACTCTGATTGACAGGCTCTGTGGATTTCTAGGTTTCCATTCTGGTAGTGTTATAGGGATTTTCAGCACTGGATATAGAGCACCGTTCCCTAATGGATTCTGTGTATAAGTTTAATGCTTGTAATGCTATGGATCATTGCAGGTTTTCTCTGGCAAACCGCAATTATAGCCAGCCTAAAATATCCTCACTCTTCTCACATTGAGTTCTGGAGAGAGAGAGTGCCCTCTAGGCCTGATTTTTAGTATTGCAGGAGAAATTAATACAGTATTAAAGCATGTCAACATATTCTGTTACACCAAATACACAGAATAATGATCTTTAAAAAAGCATCATATGACCCCTTTAATGGGAAATTTGAAAATCATATTTTCTTCAACGTAGGACGTTGAATACAATGCAGTATAAGCAACTGTACAAGCCAATTAGAATAAAAAGGTTTGATGCAAAAATACTGTAAAAATGTACTTTTTTCTAGCTATAATTTATCATTTTCATTTATACACACCAATATAATAATGAACAGCAATATTATACCTACACTAACGTTCAAAAAGTTTTTGAAGATTTATATTTCAAATGCTGCTTCTATTCATGCACTTTCTGCAAATGAATTTTCTATTCATCAAAGAATCCCCCAAAAAATGTTTCATAGTTTCCACAACAACAGCACATTAGTTTTCAACAAAAATTATGTTTTGCCATGACAAGAATAAATTACATTTAAAGATGTATTTAAATAGAAAGCATTCATTTTACATTCTAATAATATTTCACAATATTTTACTATTCTTACTGTATTTCTGATCAAATAAATACAGCCTTGGTGAACATAAGCGACTTCTTTCAAAAATCTTACCACCTTACTAAAATCATTTTAATGTATAAAAAAAGTATTCGTGAACAAATCAGTTTTGATTTAATTCAGTGGCATTTGAAAGTTAGAACTGATTAGAGGAAATTAATCAAACTTACCAAATTTGACTTGCAAAGCCACATTGTAATTCAAAACCAACAAATTTTAAAAACAGAAAATATAAAACAAAGAAGAACTGTGAAACAATGGCCAAATAACGAGTCCAATAACTGCAAATCACTGTAATATTCCCAATTTTGCTTTATTTTATATCTCCAGCAAAACCTCTGTGAAAATATTATCGGTATTCGATATACTAACGAGAAACTCTCAAGCTGACAGATTCTTCTCTTCTACACATACAGGTGAGAAGTTTGAGCTACATGCAGGCACAGAGTCTACGCCCAGCGTGGTGGTCCACGTCTGTGACAGCGACACAGATGAGGAGGAGGAACCAAATAACAACCCTAAACCAAAAATCATCCAGACCCGACGCCCAGACCTGCCAGTCTCACACTGAACTCTACAGCTCCACACAGAGTCAGGAGGATTTATCCCCTCCACCATCTCCTTCACAGGACCTCTGCCACCCTCCTTCAGAACCTTATTAAACACACAAGCAGGGTCTGAGGGACTCTGATCTGTGTTTCTCGTTCAGCACACACATGTATACAATACTCAATGTGCTGTCACACAATTTTTTTTTATGTTGCAATATTCTGTGTTAAATATGGCCGCTCTCTGTAACTCTTTCCCAATCTGACTCTGTTGTAATGTCATCTGATCACCAGTTAGAGGCAGCATGTACCCGTCCCTGCTCTCACCTACATTTCTGATTGGCTCCTGGGCCGTGGCACATGAATAGTGTCAGATGTGCCTACTGGCTGATAGCTGGCCACTTGGCTTTGCTCTTGCACCACAACTATGTACCATTTGTACCCAGCAAGCCATTAATAATATTACGTTCTTCATAAGGGCATGCTAGCCACTAAATGTGGCTAAACACCAGCGCTGCATGTGGCAACCCTAGAAATATATCTTGCCTAACAAATTTCTGTCAATTAACCCTAATATGGCAAAAACAGTTCACTTTTGCATAGCAAAAAGTGCAGACCGCAAGAATCGTTCTCTTCAGGCCAGTGCATGTTCTGGTAGCAAACTGTACGTTATTATTTCCCGCTGTGTATAATTGTCTATGTGTCTCGCCAACAGTGTTCTTACAGAAAAACGATGCTTTTCCGAATGATAAGCTGACATTTTGATCGCACCTTTCAATGGAACCTATATGAGTTGCTTCCTCAATGTGAATATTTTTTGTCGTGCTTGTGCCCTTTTCGAGACGGAAACCTTAAACCTAACTTTTTTTCTGTAAGCTCCCACTACAGATTAATGACATCAGTGGGTAATCAGATGTCATTTAATGAAATCCGTATTATGCATGGTTACTCGTTTCTAGAATTTAATGTAGTTGTCCCAAATCCATAGCTCTCCTCGTTGTCTGTGAGAGTTCATTCGCACACAAATTCATTTTGGATAGGATGCTACTGAGACAGATCTTCCAAGTGCTATTACACAGTGGGTAACAAAAAGCAAATGTTACGAGGGTAATGTCGACCGTTCTTATTCAGTCAGTATCTTTTTGGTGTGCCTAACTCATTTACGGATTATTTAGCTAAAAAATAAAAAACATCTCTTTATATATCCAAAGTTCATAACATCAAGGCATGCACAAACCATATCCGTAGATTTGAGTCACAAAGGCACTATACCCGAGTAGTTGGCAAATGCACTATGAGAAAGCATTAATTGGTTATGGTATAATGGTTATATTATTTCTTCCAAAATATATAAATGACGCTCATCCCGGACAGTCCATCAACACTGTGATGTGTCATTACTGTGATACTTGACTGATGCCCTATGTTGAAGTATTATTGTACGAGTATGTTGTAAATTTAAGGAGGTTATCAGGCTTAAACATCTGTTGTTCAGTGTTCACGACTTGCTAAGGGTGGTAGCCACAACTGTTTTTCCTCAAATCTCTGTTGAATTGGATTGTTCTTTGAACTAAATGCTGTTGGTTTGCGACTTGTCTGTCTGTGTCCATTAGCCTGAAAGAATGTAGAAATAATACACCCCATCCCCGTGAAGCAGTGACTCTTTCACTGTTCTGGAAACAGGGTACTTACTGCTCTCTTTTGACATCACCGTCTGCATTGTGACACACAGATGTTTCCTTATGCTACCGCAGCCTCACACCTTATTTGATTTAGTTAGCAGTGCACACTCTGGTCCGCTTCTCTGAAAAAAAGAGGCACAGGATCAGTACATGTCAATAGGATAAATGTATAAACGAATGGGACGAGAGCAATATATCAAAACCGATACCAACCAACCGTCCACTGCCTTGGACTTTCCCTTCCAATTCATTATTGCCTGCTTGGCCAATCAGCTCTTCCCATATTCTTTCCTCACGACACGTCAAAAATCTATAGCAGTCTCACACGCTGCCAGCCTTCCTTACCGTCATGTAATTTAAGATTTTTGTATTGTTCTGTATTGCACTTTCTTATTCACACGACTGTACACAGTATCATTCAGTAACTGTATTTCCTTTTATTTTTCATGTACTCCTGAAGACATGATATTATCTATGTTCTTAAAGTCTTTGATCTGAAGTTAGTGTCACTGATGTTGGGAAACAATATCTGTATTGTGTATACTCGTGCAAGACCATTGGTGATCTTGTCATCTACATGTGCGTCCTGCCTGCCGACACTAAGGAGACATATCTGTATATATTAATCAATAATATTTTTACTGCATTTTTGTACAAATATTCATGGTAGCCATGTACAAGTAGTTGAGATGATTCTTTGTTAGTATTAAAAAAAAAGTTTGGTTTTAAACCTCTGGTGTGGTCTGATGACTTGTGAAGATACAGTATAGATAGATCCAAATAAATGTTAAATAATTTATGAATATTTAATTATGGTATATGAGACATAGGCTAAAATAAAATATATATCTATTTATCTCCAATGCCCATAGTCTCATCATGGCCAAGCATTGTCTGTTTTATCGTCCTTGCCGATATATTGGTATTTCACTAGTATTTAGTCAATTTATTTTACGAGTAAAAGGGTAAAAGGTCACGAGACACATTAAACATTGACAACACGAGAGGTAACGTTATATATACCTAGAAAGTAAACACAAGGTTCATCAGGAGTAGGTTAGACTTGAGTTGTCCATTGGTCCAATGTAGATATTTTAATGAGGAAACGAACAAAATTGTCACCATTAATCAACTGCCACAAACGATGTCTGCCGTTTTTGCGCGTCGTCGTCGGCTGGTTTCTAAGGCGATGCTGAGGTAAGGCCAGTCAATCAGTTGTGTTCTCACTAACGGTACATATTTATGCTTAAGTATATGGCTTGCAGTCTTATATTTCTATTAAAATGCTTTCAGTTCAGACTTATTTTCAGGCTATTTTCGGGAGTGTTACTGAATGCATTGTTCGACTGTCACATGGGAAACTTCTTGAGACTGGTTTGCGACGATACAGTCTATGCTTGTACTATAATAACGAATTAAACTGCCTAATATACATCATTACTTATAAACAATGGTATATTACCTTTGTGGACAATATCGTTTCTCCCTCGGTAACAATTCGAACGATTCAAGATAATCCAAATATCTGAAAACTGAGCACATGGGCCTAATACAATGTTATGATAAATAGCGAATCGTTCATTCGAGTCGATTCTTTCCTGTGAATTGCGTAAAACGGAATCCTTCAGAGTGATTCTCGAGTCAACAACTCATTACTGAACAGCCCTGATTAAACAACTTAATCGAAACTACGTAAGAAAACAGATATACGTGTCAAATTGGATTTTTACTGGAATGTTTCAAACTATGAAATATGCCATACCGTGACATTTGAACCACGTGATGATAAAATTACACAGTACAGTTTTTGAATCGGTTCTTGAAACAACAGATTCGATTCGAGGAAATGAGTCAGACTTAGCATGCATCACTAATGACACACTTTAAATAGTCTGCTCTCTGATGGAGTGGCATTGAATCTATGGGCTAAACATGGCAATTTAAGAAATTATTATTTTTAAAGTACATTAATTTGAACAAATTCTCATTTCCTGACACTGTAGGTCACACTGGATCAACAGACATGATAACATGACAATGATAATGACATTATAATGTATTTTAATTATGTGGCCACTACCAATGATCACCACCTTACAACAAATAACCAAAACATGCAGACTCGTTTTATTTCAGTTTATTTTAATGGTGAGACAAATATCATTTTAGAAGAGCTAAAAGTTAACCTTTAACAGAAGGCGTCGTCTCAGTAATGCAAATAAATCTCCATTTGCTACCCATTTTATGCAATTTGACCCATCTTATAATGGCTGCCTGCAGATGCAGTTTCACTATCCACCAGAAGATGGCAGTCTTACCATCTGTTACTGCTAACTACTCAAACCTAAGAGGAAACATACCGTGAAATGAAAATTTTAAAACCAAGTTTCAGCTAAATTCCACATTTATTTCTGTAGCTTTGAGACTAGGCTGCAATAAAATAGCAATCAATCTAATTTAAATATGATGTCATTCGTATGTCATGTATTGCGCGTTATGTAAGCAAGAATGCTTGCCTTTTTAGAAGTCAAAATATAAAAGCCACAACAACTCCTGATAAATCACCTAAGTAGGAGCATATGAATAATAGAAGCAAATAGTTTAACAAAAGATGATGACATTTTAATACCTTTTGGTCACGTGAACTTCATCAGGCATTGTATACTTCTTAAACTTTTAAAGTGAGAAAAAAGCCAAGTAAGCCACTTACTTAGATAGTCCAAGTAAACAGAGTGTGTTCCAAGCCCAGGTTCCAGGGCCAAAGTGCGTGCGTCACCGAGTGTCCTTGTTTCACAATATTGCAGAAAGCAGCCTGTTAGAAGCTGTGCCAGGCCAGGTTCCTGAGCACCAGTGCCAGCCTTGCCCAGAGAGGCCCTCTCCGAGTGTGGCACAGGAATAGGTGCATGGAGCGGTAGCCACCTGCTCAGAGGATTAGCCAAAACCACACATGCCCACAGCCCCACCAGAGACCCTCCATAAACACCAATTGCTTTCCCAAATATCTATGTTTGCTGTGAACACAGAAGCATTTGTGTCTTTGTCTTTCACTCTAGTTTGAATAATGAGTTTTGGTTGCTCTCATTTTTACATGTAAGCTACATTGCTTTTATATTTTAATTGAATGTATTACTGGTTCTGTGCCTAAAAATCATAATATTTGAGTTTTACATAATAAATATACACAGCACACATACATATATTATGTAAACAAAGACTTTCATTTTGGATGCGATTAATCGTTTGACAGCACTAATTATTATTATTATTCCCATAATAGTTTTACTTGGAAATATAAGGTGACAAAAACTGGCTGTAAGAACTGTTAAGAAAAAACATTTATAGAAAAATGTCCTGGTAGAAAATGACCAGTACTTTTGGATTATTGCAAAAAAAACAAACAAAAAAAAAAAAAGCTCTGTGACCAACAAAAGTTTATGATACATACACATGTTGTTCATCATAATCTTCACAAATGAACACAATTTTTATGAATTTTAAAGCCTAAATACAAGCTAATAATCGAACTACACACCGGTCACATGACTTCGTCACCACCATTACAGTATTTAAAACATTTTTCCTTGGAAGTTTGAGTTAGAATAGTTTGCAAAATCACAATTATAAACACAAAAGAGAACTAGTTTGTAGATTAGTTTACCTGTTTGATGCGATGATAATTAATGTCCCCGACATCCTCTGTAGTCCCATTTAGCCACTTGTTTAGCACTCGCCTTTTTCAAGACAAGTAAAAGCTTTAAAAATCACAATGTGTATTACTGATGTATTTTATGTTGTAGAATAAAATGTGAAAATATCTTGAGATTGTGTTAACCACAGACATTATTTCAGGCATTTAACCCCAAATAAATAAATAAATAATCAAAAACCCCACTGACTTCAGAATAATGTTAACTGGAGTGTTAAAATACTCATTTGTGGATTTGAGCCTACAAAAAAATGTCATCCATTCAGCAGTCTATGCAATGCATAATTTAAAATACAGGGTAAAACACAATACAAAAAATTCCCTCATATTAACATTTGGCTGTATTTTACAAACTTTTCTTAGAGAAATGTATTTATTAAAGAAATAGCTCACCCAAAAATAATCATCTTACAACGACCCATCATTTCGCTTCTTAAGACCTCAATATGTTGTTAGAAGCCATGGGTATTAATTTTGTGTTTCCTGTTTGCCTTTTGTGAATCAAAGGATCACTATGGATCCAGCTATAAATCATCTTTAATGTTCTACTGAAGAAAGAAATTCATTACATCTTTTTGTAATGCAAGCAAAATTTTCAAGCAAATTTTCATTTTTGGGTGAACTGGTCCTTTAAAAATACTTAGATTTAT